CAGCGCAAGAAAAAACTCATTACCTCCGCGCAACGGAGTTGCAGGGGAGGTAATGTAATCGGTCGTGTGTGTGTGTGTGTGTGTGTGTGTGTGTGTGTGTGTGTGTGTGTGTCCTTGCAATCATATGTACCTATTACCAGGTACGACTCGCTACACTTGCATCTCATCAGACGCTAGTAGCGATCTTCCAGACAAGCGCATGGTCATAAAAACTGACATGGCTCGCAGTTTTCTTGCTATAAGCTCTAGCATAATGTGCGTTTTTACGCCAGCGGGCGTGTTTACACAAACGGCAAGAACTTGTCAACCGCTCTCACCTGAACAACGCATCTTGTTCGATCGCCGTTTTTGCGGACTGCATTCATCAATGTATTGAACCGAGCCACTTGTCAACAATGCGCATTTGTTAGTTTGCCTGCTTTTTGTCGCGGAATTAGCTCTCGACTCGCTCGTGATCCCACTCTACAAGCTGTTTCTGCACCCCCCACCCACTTCATTGCTAACATCCTAAACGCCACATCCGGTGCTATCCTGGCACGTATTAGATGGAAGCCGATGTTTTCGTACTGCATTTACAAACACATTTCGGTATCATTAGCAGTGAAAAAAATACAATCTTTGTTTTTATTCACGTCTGCTACATAGCTACGGCTGTCATACCGCACCAACTACACAGTGTATGCAGCCAATTATGTAGGTCCGTTGATTTGTTACGCGACTTGTCGAACTAACCCTGTTTTATAGGTCAATCAAAGAAGTAACGAATAAGTTACATTTGAACCGATCATGTTTGAAATGAAGCCGGATTACCCAAGAAATTTTAGCAATTTTCATTAGCTTTTGGTTTCAATAATTTTTATAACAATGATTAACTACGTCGGGTTAACCACTACGGCACGGGTTGATATAATGTTGCAGAACATTTGTTCTGTTGAAAAAACTTTCCTTAACTACATGCTTTTAACATTTGCACTAATGCAATGTTAGTACAATACACCACACCTTTCTTTTACCAATAATTATATTACGTTTAAACTTAAACGTAGTTTACACAATCCTATTTAGTTGTGAGGTGGCAACTGCAAATTTCTAATGTTCAACGCTGGGTAGATCCATATTAAGAAACCAAACGTAATTGGCACACGCTGTTCTGTGCAAATTCCACTTCTCCATTTAATATTATTATTATTATTATTATTATTATTAAATCTTTATTGCATGTAATTCAGATGTATTTAATTATATCGCAGCGTGTGCGAATTCATAGTTTTATCGTGAGGTGTTTGCCGTTCATTTGGCGATCCTGTACTATTCAACCAACACACATGAGCTCGCTAAAAAGGTGTTCGATATCTCTGGTGCCATCTAGCGGGTAAACGAAGAGCAGAATAGATCTATCGCAATACTTGGTCTTACCATAGAGATATACAAACACATAGATGTATACACATGTGTATGTGTTTGTATATATATATATGGTCTTACCGTGTGTAACAGCTTTCCTCATAACCGCCTGGTTTGTTTGGTTGGCAACGTTAACACCACCTGTACGGCGTGGCGAGGAAATGTCGCACTGTGGACTAGCAAACTAAATTCTTTGGCTACATTGATCATCCGCCTAATATCTGCCTAACAACATTACATACTCAGTGTCAGTGTCAGCAATAATATAATAGAGCCCCAGGCGGAAAGGTCCGGTCATCCATTTCTTGAACCCCAACTACGTATATTGTTTACGTTAATTTAATACTTACGTTTAAGTATTTTATCAAAAAAATGTGTTTTTGTACCTCTTGAAACAATAGTAAATCCAGGAGAATTAATGATTTGAAAGGGGGCGTGGCCTAATCGTGACGTAGATTTGGGGCACTTGCCATAACATACACGATACGCACCGGTGCGGTTTTTGTTGTGAATCAGTTTAATAAATAGTAGAAGTTCGTACGAAATTGACCACAAACAACGCAACGCACGCGTTTCCATGCAACAATTTGTTACTAACACCTGATGATCTCGTGTGAAATGGATGACCGGACGCGTAGCCTGGGAGCTGAGCTCATAATATATATAATATATACGCGCAGCTGGTAACTCGACTGACCTGCACATTTAACCTTATCAGGAGTCTATTGATAGACTCCTGACCTTATACATGATGATTCTCTACTGCCTAGCAGAAATAGACAGGCCGAGCGGTAATATCAACTGGTACCCTTATAACATTCCAAGCATAACATTACAGAGCTATGCAGAAGAATATTCCAGAACTCCGCCACCCGAACAGCGGCGACACTGCTGCGTAACTGCACGTCCTGCCGCAGCCACACAAGTGAGGAAGGTTCGATGTGATCTAAGCAGCTTCAAATATCAGTAAAGATCCGACTAATACGGAACCGGGTGAAGCCATGGCGCTGCGTGGCGCCCGCTATTACCAGCAATATGAAGCGATGGCATCCCTGACGAAGCAAGCACGCATATATCGGCGGCAGTGGCGCATCGATCGTCTATCGATTACGCACGCCGATTATCGATTACACACACCGATTATTGATTACGCACGCCGATTATCGATTACGCACTCCGATTATTGTATTCGCACGCCGATGATCGATTACACACGCCGATTATTGATTACGCACGCCGATGATCGATTACACACGCCGATTATTGATTACGCATGCCGATTATCGATTACGCACGCCGATTATCTATTTTACAAAACGTTTATCGCTTACACATGTGGTTAAAAGTTTCAAATTTATCGAGGCACTCTATCTAAAGCTGGGTTTACACTACCTACTTTGTCGGCAAATCGGCGAGTTTGGCCAATTTCGAAATTCGGCAACTCCGAGTTGGCGAAAATAGAGCATGTTCTAATCTCCTAACTACTTGCTATCGATCGGTTGGTCGCGCAACTTTTGGGTTTGCGCTGCCGATTGTCGGTTGTATAGTTGGGAAGTTGGTCCAATTCGCCAATTCGCCAACATAAATTCGGTTAGTGTGAACCCAGCTTAAGTTTAAGTGGCAAAGCGAGCAGGGCAGACTACCTGGTGATCGACCTCCCGCACCAACAAGCTTCGCGGTATGCCGCCAGCAATATCACGTCTTATCACGTTAGAATCACGAACGAGACAAGCAGCGTCCGCGTGATTTTTTTGTTCACCGTCTCGCTCATCGAAATTATTACAAGTGAAACACTTTCGCAACTCGCATCTCGCAACATTGCCCGCGCACCGGGTGGCGCGTTTGGGCAACGATGCGGGCCTCTACAGCAGATATATATATGTATATATATATAGCTGCGCAATATCGCTGGCGTGCGTGCCATTCACGAGCAATGTGCACATATTGCATATGCGCATGCGTATGTTGATAGCACATTATTTCTGTGCACGCAGGAACTTATGAGTGAATGCTTGGAGTGATATCACTGGTATCCCTGAGCGCAGTGACGTATAAGATCTATATGCGCTTGTCCGAAGAAAGCCTAGGCCATTGCGCATTTTTGGATGAACAGTGAATCACATAAATTACTGCTAGAGTGCGATGGAGCCTGGAGGGTGTGGACGCGAATCCTTTCTAGTATATGTCTGCAATCGTCTAAATAGACATACGAAGGGAGAGAAAAGCTACACATTAAAAACTGCATTGTGCAGCACGAAAAAATAATAGCGGAAAAAGCAATAAGGTGCAGCAGAGCAGCAGCGTTAGTAACCTATAGTTTTATAAATTACTGCGTGGAAAGCGATTGTATGCTAGGCAGTGGCAGTTGACATTCGTGAATGGAATGAAAAAAGAAGAGGGAATGCCATGGGAAAGATAACACTGCCATTAATAAGCACTCGCTAGAGAAATTACTAACATTCCCTAGAACAGGGGTTCTTAACCTGGGGTCCGTGAACCAGGCGCAGAAAAATTACTTAAAATTTATTTTCGCTAGCTTTTTATAAAAAGAAAATTTTTTTTGTCTATGCACATGATGTTATGTACTTATTCTTGCTTACTGAAGACTAGTAGATCTGTAAGGTAGGTTGAAATGGGATACTACTGAGCGTATACAGGCAGGTAACATAGTCATCATCACCAACAAGTTATGACTTCTAGAATGGTTTCCCATCGATAAAAATTGAAGAAAATTTATTCATTGTATGCAAAATTTTGGGTTTATGTGCATATGTGCATTTTTCTGGGGTCCCGGGAGGTCCGTAGGTTTCAACCATATTCTCAAAAGGGCCATTACTCAAAAAAAGGGTTATGAATCACTGCCCTAGAAACCAGGAATGGTGACATTGGACGTTAGTGCAGCATTCTAAAGCCCGGACTAAATCAAGGTAATTGATCAAACTATTTCAAGGTGCTGTTGTACTTGACAGTGTTATGAAGTTTCATTAAAGCCTGTTAGGAAAATAAAGTCGCTGGAGCAATGTAATTTAAAAAAAGTACAAAGTGACTTTGAATGCAGCACTCTCAAACACGAACTCCTTTGAGATATTGCCATCCTTAACACTTGTATCAAGTACACAAAGGTATCTGTCATGGAAATAATATTGCCTGAGAGATGACAAGAGCCAACGGATGTATTTATGGGCAAACCCCATATCCTTTTCCAACGACTTCGTTGTGAGGGGATGATATGAGCAAGCACACAAGCACATAGTTGTTATAGGTATATAGTGTAAGTAATCCACATGTGTTGGTAATCCAAGGTGGCAACGAGGCAAGAGATTAAGCAGTGCCTTAATTTAGCATTGTACACCAAGTCGCTATTATCAGAAGTAGATTGATTCCCTATTATCTACTTCTGCTATTATCCATCTCCCTGGTTTTTGTCAGAAAAATTTGTAATGCCAAAAAATGAACAATAATGTGATGCAGTTTCCCGTAAATAGTTTGTCTATTACGCCAGGTAATGAGTTCATTTTGCTGCACCCGGGCACGCGCACTCTTTCATATATAACTGAACAGTTAGCTAGTTTACATGCACATTGGAAAAAACTCACCTTGTGGGAGATCATCAATAACGATCCTCTGGTCATCAGTTGGCTCGTCGACCTATGAAAACAAATAAATCAATCTAGCTACCCGACTCGTCTACTGATACAGTCAAGCTTTTATGAAAAAATTTTCACCGATTTTTCATTTTCATTCTTATTCGATGGCTAACACTATGTGCCACCTCTGTACATACTCATTTCTTCATATAACGATACATGTGAACTTTCAGAGCATTTTGATTGCCATCGCACATGAGCCGTGGCTAACGTTACTAGTGATGACAGAGATATGATACATACAGAGAGATGGATAAGTTATACAACCGGCATTTTCACGGTATTCATTGTTAAGTGATACGATTATGAGCAATTATGCCAGTAGATGGCGCTGCCAGAACTCCCACTATGACAGAATCCATCAGCATCAAGCCATCAACACGGACGGCTATATGGCATTGCAGCTGTCATTGCCGGTGATACTGTCTGTATACGCTGTATATTTCGCGGTGGTTTAATTTTCGCGAATTCCGCGAATACAACACGCGAATAATTCATACCGAATAATTCATAATTGACCGACCGCAAAATTAACTGCTCGCGAAATTGTCCGTCAAGTCTGAATTCGCTAAAATATCTGTACGCGAAATATATGGCGTATACAGTAGTTGGAATTTCCGCGCGGCCGAAAATGGCATTTACACCTTGATACATAGCCTTACCTATAGGCCCAGGTTTGTTGACACGTTGCTTAGCGACGGCATGAAGTACCACATCGTTCGCGCGTTTCGCATGAAATTGCGATGGTAACCTCATAATTTCTTACAATTTCTCAAGGTGTACAGAACATTTTACCAATTTAGTGGCTTCAGGTAGTCCTAGATATGTCGCAGCAAGTACTAACAATAGATGTTTTACATAAGTTCACCCATTTTGCACAGAGGGGGTCGATCATTGTAAAAAGTAGAAAAATGCCGATTTCTCTGTTTTGATTTCTGCCACAGTAGCCGATGTATAAATGGATATTTCTTTGTCATTACAACTCGGAATAATTAAATTTTACACTAGCTTTCAGGGTAACACAGTGCTGCAAAAAAGTGCCGTATGAGTTATGGTTATTTATTTGCATAAATTTTTAATCTGAACATACGACTTAAATTTTAGCCAGTTTTCTTCATTTTTTTCTGTAAATATGAAACATAAAGAAAAATCCTGACAAACTTTGTTGGTTCATACTGTGCTTAACTTTTGCTTGCTCTTCAAAAGTTTTTCTTTCTCACTCTTTGTGGTAATTAAGAAATATCCAAAATACCACTTTTACATAAAAATTCAAAATTTGTGTTGTCCCCATAATTAGGTGCTGGAAATTTCATGAATTTTTTTGGCTTGAGCATATAGAGATACATCTCATCTATAAATAAAACGTGTGATTGATTCGATTCATTTGTCAATAACCATTTACTCTAAATTAGAGCAATACCCGTGCAAAAGCTTGAGTGTAAAACTACGCAAAATACTAATATTTAGACCCTAGTAGAGGCTTTCAGATTGAAAAATCTGAGAAAATATCATTATTAATAAATTCGACATAGAAGAAAAATATATAAAGAAGACATATCAAGACATTAACCTTTAGTGTAAGCATGCAGCCTGGTGAGAGCCGCAGGTTTCCTAGTTTCGCATACTCATCAGTCAACTGCACACCATTGAATGCGAGATGCTGATCGAACGGTGGCACAGAGAAGAGCTTCATAATCTAGACAACGAAAAAATTCGATTGCTAGATTCAGTACTCAGTGTCATATTACTGTTGGTACTTAAAACAATAGCAAATCGAGCAATCTATAGATCTACAAACTGCAACCATTTAGCATAAATCATATCATATCACATCACATCACATCGTATCAAGTCATATCATATCATATCATAACATACTAGGCCATATCAGATCACATCATTTCATATGACATGATCATTTTATATCATTTGATAGTCATACTCACTCAGTTAACAGAGTGAACAGTTAATTGAGAGTAGTCATTGAAACCCTTGATAGGGGTACATGAATATTTCCTGCTAATAAGGTACATGTCTAATAAATTAGAGGTTGCAAATAAATTTTTCTGTTACACACTTCATATGCATAAACGGAAGACGTGCAGTTCCCCTTAAAACATTCCTACTATTCCTGTACACACTGCGTTTAACTTTAGAGAACCAGTTTCAGGATAAACTATCACAAGTTACAACGCAGTTGAAGATAAACAACATTAGTGTACTATACAAGCATGCTATAGCTCATCTAGTGCACTCATGCTCTGCTAAATAGTCGAATAAAGGCACTGGTGTGACCAACACACCAAACTACTGGTACACTGTGGTATGGATAAAAGCACACTATTATTTCATATTAGTAAAAGTAAAAAAATTATCATAACTATTATTATTTTAATAGTATTATTAATTCATTATCATCATTAATGTACTACACACCTTGACCTTGAGGTCACGCAAGGTATCGCTAGATGAAATAATGACTTCCTTGTCATTCCGTGAACGCCGTGTTCTAGAACTCCGCCGCACGTTCACGTCAATGAGAGCAGGTGCCTCTACTGTCTGTTCAGT